GTCGCTTCGATCTCCCGACCGCAGATCCGGAGTTCGTCGCCGATTGAGACACCCAGGTAGCCTGGTACGTCTTAATGGCATCAAGTGCCGCGATGACACTCGCGCTGTGACTTGAGTGTTCCAGCATCAAGCACTGGGATAGTGCACCGCAAGTTTCCCGGCATGTTGACCGAGTCTATGCTTGGGAAGGCCATTGAGGCCATGCCAACGCAGAGACTCTTCTCATTTATTCTCACGGTGCTCTTGAACGTTCCAAAGGGGCAACCCGCAAGGATCCCATAGTAGGTATAGTATAGCAACGTGGGAGTGAAGGCCGCTAAGTCGCGGAATGCGGAGGAATAGTCCGAGATGTGGAAAGTATTGCGGAAGCGCCTGCGGACTTGGAGATGGGGCCGGCCCGCGGGCACCGGACCTGCTCTCTGCAAGTTATCGATGGTATAAACACACGCAAGGGATGCAGAAAGCAAAGGTGTTTCATACGAGGACGGGCGCGGTGTGGTCGTTGTCTGGCGAGGTGATGGTTGGCATTGCTGCGAAGCGCACGAAGCCACAGAGCAACATGGCTCTCTCGATTCAGAGAGCCTTCCTGCAAGGCGCCATACCCACTGGATCAGGCAATGCATCACGTCAGCTTGAGCTTCCACATGTTCTTGTTGGCATCACCAGGGCGGTGGCGGCATGCTGCCTACACGCCAAAGTCCAAACCGTTGCCGCGGGGGCGCGGACGTGGCATGCCAGATTGATGCCTCGAGAATAAGGTCCAAATTCAGGCACGGGCAGGCTGTTTGCACGGCCCGTCAGGCAGCTGTTCACGGCTGGCCGCTTCTATGTGTTGCCGGGCAGGCACGCACGCACGCACCCGCGCCTGCACCTTTCCTCCTTCCTACAGCCACCAACCTCCACATCCCCTTTCCCTCCTTCACCGCCAACATCACATTACCAGACGCTCAGGCTCCCGTCGGAACTTCTTTCTACCCCCACACTCCCCTACACATCGGCGACTCTTGCCCTACCATCGCACATCTCCGACCTGCCTGGCGGCTTCCTCCAGGCCACGTCCGAGTGCACCACCGAGCAGGGACCATCAGGTCCGACGTCGCCATCTCATTTGCTCGTTTGTCGTTTCCCCATACATGACAGCGGCCGAAAGCCTTCAAATCGACGACCTGGTCCATTGTTTCAAGTCTCTCACGATGAGTGACAACGTTGACCCGTCGGATGTCAAGAAAGCTTGCTTCGTACGTTCGTCCCCTGCCGGCTCCGAGCCGCTCCTTCGTTTTGGCGGCATCCCGAATCCCCTCCGCTGCCACAAAGTATCCCTCTGGTTCTGGTTTTGCTCATTCCTGCACGGCCGCTGCGAGGTTTTACTGCCCAAATCTGCTTTTGCTAACCACCGTACCAGGCCGACCTGAGTCGGCTTCGACAGAACGAGCTGCCTTTGAGCAGCAAGGAACACAGAGGTTCTTCCTACACTCCTTCGGGAGACAATACCGCTCGAAATATTGCTTCGGACGTCAAGAAGAACCTCAAGAGCAAGTGGAGTGGTAAGACAGGCGGTCCTTGATCTATCCAATGCTACGCTAACGCCAATCAGTGACAATCTTCGACGAGGAATCGGAGCAAATCCAAGGACTTTCCAACGAAGACGCCCGCCCTTGGGCCAAGAAAGTTGCCCAAGCCTACATGAGCAAGAATCCCACGTCTTCGTAAGTCCACGCCCCCATTCTCAATAAGCTAATGGGATCTAACTTTGATGTTTGCAGTGCACCTCCACGAGTTGGGCCGAGTCCTTTCGCCGCAAAGAAGACCAATTTCATGGGAACACACACGCCCAGCGGTACCGTCGGCAAGCTTGGGGGACTCGTGCCTCCTGGCGGAGCCGCGACTCTGCGCTCAACGCCAAAGGACAGTGCGAAATGTGGCGCGACAATGTCTTGCACCACCGCTTCGCAGAAGACGGCAACGCCGCAACCCAGTTTGGCCGGCCAGAGCCTCGACAAGAAAGATGCACTCCCTGAATTGCATCGAACACCTGGCGGGACAGCACTACACTTCAGCGTTAACCCCATTACTGACCCCGGTTCGGCGGACCATACCCTATGCCACGGCAAATGTGCGGTGAAGCTGCCTCAAGCTGCCGAGGACATCACTGCCAACTTCGTTCTCAAGATTGAGAAGCCGACGAACCGCGCACTACTGGTGCTTTCCGCTCCGGGAAAGCCCCAGCGGGTCCATAACATCGTGGACTTGAAGCAGCCTGTCATCCAGAACAACTATTGCCTCGTCGCTAGCGTTCCTGGCCGGGCGAACGTCGCTTACTTATTGAGGCTCCAAACAGCTGAGCTTACAGCCAAGTTCAAGCTGTACTTGGAAAGTCTTCAGGTTACGATGAAGCGGCAGCAAAAGTCCACCTTGCCGCTCCCTAAAAGAACGGGCGATGGGACGGCCACGGGATCGGGAGTCCGCAACAATGGAGAGGCATCTTCGCAGAGCTCACGCTCTGCCATGCCGGCACATGGCCCTTCCACGCCTGTTTCGACTGCTCCACTCACTACGGTTGCATCACAGGGCCCGTCGGGATCTTCCGCTGCACCTATGCTGGTCGACCTCGATGATTCTGACGAAAGTCGAGATCCCGCAAACCCTTACGCAACCATTGAAGACGCGGCCGACAAGCTATGCACGCTCATGGACAGCCTTGAACGTGATTTCGTGGACAAGGGGTTCCCGTTGACAGGTGACGCGGTCGATGAGCTCCAGGATACTGCCATCGACATTTGGCTTCAGAGGGGCTTTTTGGGGGCCGAAGACGCTGACATCAAGGAGGACATGATCAAGCTCCTCAAAAGCTTGTTTCAAGTCAAGCGCCAGGCAATGCAGTTCCGACACAAATTCAAGACCAGCAGGGTACTCAGATCGAGCAGCACACAGGTAGCCGAGTCTTCTTCGATAAAGTCTCTCCAGGAACTTCAGCTTGGTCCAGCTCCACGAGGTCGAATTCAGTACACCTCCGAGCAAATTTCGCAGCTAGCTGCCAAGGCAACATCGCGTCCGAAAGACCTGGACAGGGCGGAATACCTGCCTCCTCCAGGGACGAAGAGAATTAAGCTTTCTCCGGCACCAAAAATTGACGGACTCTCTCAGGTTCGGAGATGGCTCAACAACGGCGAGAGGCAGGCTCCAGCCGGCCCAAGGCCTCTTGCGTCGTCCTCGATTCCTGTTTCCAACGTGCCTGTCCCGGCAACGATGCCCGCGATGCCTGTCACTGCAACGCCGGGCGCTGTGAAGACGTCCAGTGCAACGTCTTGCGAAGCAATGGAGCTCGGTAGGCTTCAGCCTGCTCTGACCAAAAGGGGGCAACAAACTGACGAGGATTTCACAGACTCCCTCCCGCCCACTCCGGCGTTACGTCAGGCAGCTCCCGCTTTCCAGGGTACCACCGGCGGTATATCGACAGCCAATACCTCCACAGTGTCTGTCTTGGAGGCCAAGAAGGGCACCGAGCTGGCAACAAAGAATGCTGCAGCGCAGCCACCGGCCCCAAAGCCGGTCGCAAAAGGCCTGGCCAATTCCCGCTGGGCAAACTAGTCCAGAACGACATGCGAAGGGCGACCTCGCGTATCCAACAGGTCGACGGTGGAGAGTGTACGATGCGAGGACGGTTGCAACGAAAACTCATACGCGAAGGAGCTTCGCGCTCGGAGTATGAGTGTTTGCGCTTGGCGTTGGTGGACAAAAGCATGGCTTGGTGATGGTGACGGCGGATATGTCGGGACCATCCGCAGCAGTCGACCAGGCCCGGATCCATTGACGAATCCCGGTGAGGGGAAGCAGGCGCATTTCCACCTGCATAATGAATGGCCACAAGACCATAGAACAGGGTCAAGATGAGACTTCATCTCGATCGTAGATGTAGAGTACAAAGGGCAGATAGAGACAGGTCACGAGCAAGCGTGGCAAACGGACGGACAGAGTGCAATCAACTTGATGGATTCAGCTTTCGGTAACACCTTGCCTCGTAGGTGTCAACAAGGTTGCGCGTGTCCTGGTCAAAGGCCCTCCGACTGCCGTCATCGTGCAGTGTCTTGATGAAGTCGAGGGCTTCTTGGTAGCGACGGAAGTAGTAGAGCTCCTCGATGGCGTGGACAACCTGCTGGAGAGCCATCTTGCCGGCCCCAGGGGGCAGAGGCAGACTGATGGTCTTGAATATCTGTGGTACGATCAAGTCAGCCACGGCTGCCGGCGCCTGCGCGCCCATCGCGGGTACGGGGGCGGGCACGGGGGCGAGGGTGAAGACGCCTCACATCGCCGTTTTCCACCTTGGCCTTGTAGTCGGCCTTGACGGCCTGGAACTCGGCCTCTGACTGGCCAGTGCGGTTGGCCTGCTTCTCGGTGACGTCTTCAGTGTCCGAGAGCTCGATGTCGAGGATGCCGCCGCTGTCGTCGTCTTCCATGGTGATTTTGCTTGCAATGGAATCGCTGGGCACGGCAGGGCGCCAGAGATATCCGGCACGGCACGAAGAGGATGTGACTTTTGCTCCACCCTGGTGCACTGGATCTCCCAAGCGGAACGGCCCACCGATTGTTTGTGGGGCCGTCCATGTGCAGTCTACAGGGTGCCAGCCATTCCATGGGCAAGCCTAACATGCGCTTTAGTACTTCGTAGCTCTAGTACTTATGATCTCTTTTTTACCGGGTGTCACGGCCTATAGCCTAGAGGGATGTTGTTGTTACGCTAAGATGTAGAGCTCGTTTCATCTGAGAGGGGGTTTGGGAACGCGCTGGGAGCTTGAGATTTTGCAGTCTACGAGTCGAGGCCTCCAGGGTACGCCGAACCCACCCCGATCACATCCAGGCCCAGCCCACGGTGCACAACAAGCGGCCGGTCCAGGCTCCTCCCGCGCCCGTGGCGCAGCGCGTACAAAGTAAAGCTGGTGGGTGTTAGCGCACGCGGCTGGCCGTGGCAGCTCCAAACAAGGAGCGACGCCCGCCGGCCCCTTTGTCTGCACGCAACGCCGCCTCGTCGTCTCCTTTGCAAATCCCGAAAGACGAATTCCAGACTCGACTTCTCTGCAGAGCGACCATGGCAGAAACCAAGGCGCAGGCGGACGCTGCGGCCGCGGCGACGGCACAGGCAGACGCCGCCTCTGGTAGTGACGTCGGTGAAGCGACGTCCGCAGCGCCAGCGGAGCCCACCCAACACGCTCAACCGACCGGGCAGGACCTCTTGCAGCCTGACGAGGCCGCGGCCAGGGGCGACAGCCGGCCACCCTCGACCAAGTCGCGCACGCCTCCCAAGTCGCTCGACATCGACAAGTCTAGGCCCCAAGACTTTGACGGGGAGCTGGCGACGACAGACGAGCTGCCACCGCCCGAGACGCTGCGCAAGATCGACAACTACGTGGTGCTCGACCGGCATGGCAAGACGCACACCTTTCAGAGCCTCTACAGCGGGCGGAACGTCGCGAGGCGCGTCCTAGTCGTCTTTGTGCGGCACTTCTTTTGCGGTGTATGTCTCCCCGTGCCACGAACCGCCCGTCCCTCGCCCTGCCTGCGCCTGGACTGACTGACGTTTGCTCGCAGAACTGCCAGGAATACCTGCGCTCCCTCTCCGAATCCATCAAGCCCGAGGCTCTCTTGCGACTGCCGATAAGCACATTCGTCGTCGTCGTCGGGTGCGGCGACCCCGCCCTCATCGACATGTACGTCGAGGCGACGGGGTGCCCGTTCCCCGTCTACACGGACCCGACGCGGTCGCTGTTCGACGAGCTCGGCATGGTCAAGACGCTGGCCCTGGGCGCGAAACCCGCGTACATGAAGAGGGGTATGCTGCGGACCATGGCCGAGGGCATCGGACAGGGGCTGCGCTCCATCCCGCGCGGGCTCGCTCTCAAGTCGGGGGACCAGCGGCAGGTGGGCGGCGAGTTCCTGCTGGAGCCGCTGGACGCGGTGACGCCCATCGGCACGCCGCAGGATGAGCGCCATAAGCGCGCCGCCATCGGGACGGCGGAGCCACAGGGAGGACAGGACGGCGCGGATGATGGCCCGATAGAGGAGAAGCGGGTGACGTGGTGTCATCGCATGAGGACAACGAGGGACCACGCCGAGATACCGGAGCTGATGGAGATCCTTGGGCTCGATGGTCACGGCCAGCCGATCAAGGACGAGAAGAGGTGGTCCAAGGCGCTCCAGGAGCGGAAAGGGACGGGGCTGAGCATGGCGAGCGAGATGAGCAAGATTGGCGAGGCCGAGGAGAAGACGTCCTGAGTGAGGGGCGTGACGGGATGGGACGCACATGTTGTTCTTTTTTTCTTCGCAGCGTGCATGGCATTGGCCTGGGACTGAGCGTGTTTGGCAATCTCTCCTGTCGAGTTGAAACAGATAGGTAGCTGGAACAATGGCCGTCTATCTCTACGAAGCCGGCCTCTATTTTGTACTCGATGCATGCGTCGTCGTCATCACTCATGTACCCACGCGCCGTCCTCCTTGCTTTCCACCTCCTCATCGACCTTTAACCTGTGGCTGACAATCTGCTCCCCATTGACGAGGTCGTTCTCGGTAGCGCGGCGGTCCCCCTCGTCGAGGTCGCGGGCGATGCCGGCGCGGACGTGCCTCTGGCGCAGGCGCCTGCGCGCGACCTGGAAGTCGACATCGACGAACCACAGCTCGTCGAGCAGGGCGGCGGCGTCGCGCCAGACGGGCTCGTCGAGGGCCAAGTAGTTGCCCTCGAGGACGACGACGCGGTGCGACGCCAGCACGGGGATGTCGTCGTCGCGCGGGTCCTTGACGGCGTGGTCAAAGGACGGCGCGAGGATGGGCGACGCGGGCGGCGGGCTGGCGCGCAGCCGCTGCACGAGGGCCAGGAACTTGGGCGCGTCGAAGGTGAAGGCGGCGCCGCGCCGGGCGTGCGCGTGCGTGGGGTCCGGCATGGAGGAGAGGGTCGCGCGCGTTAGGTGGAAGCCGTCCATGGGCACGTACGTCGCGGGGGGAAGGGGCGCGACCGAGGAGGACGAGGACGAGGACGAGGAGGCGCTGGAGGATGAGGATGAGGCGCGCGCGTTGATGCGGGACGATATGATTTGCGCGAGCGTCGTCTTGCCTGCCCCATGTCATTAGAGGGCCGGCTCTTCTTCTTTTGTTTCTACCAAAAAGAGCCATCTCATACCTGAGCCCGGGATGCCGGCGATGCCAATGACTGCTATGTGGTCAGCCAGCGGGCCCATCCATGCATAGAACGTCGTCGAGTCCGTGGTGGAGGTTTATATCGGGAGCAGGGGTTGGGGGTTGGGTGGCCGCCGGGTCTCACTCATCAACGAGAGCGCCTTTCAGCGGCCGGGGTTATTATTGCTCGTGGGTGGACGAGAGAGAGTGTGTGCGTATGCGTGCGTGCGTCTGTGTGAGAGAGTGAGAGAGTCAAGTCAACCTACGCAGTCGCTGCCCGTCGGGCAGGGCCTGGTACTTGTCCCAGACCTTGTCGGCCAGCCGCAGCACCTGGTCTTCCATGGCGGGCTGAGCTCCGGCGGGCGGGCGCGTTGTCGTGATGGGAGCTACCTAGGGCTGGAGAGCTGGAGAGCTGGGAGCTGCGGGATGCAGGACGGCAGCGGCGAGCGGGCGGGCGGGCGTCGTTCGCATCGAGCCGACAAGGGGAGGTCGAGTCGGGAGTCGGGACAGGCGCGTGCGGGTCTTTGCATGGCTGGATGCTCGACGGGAATGACTGACATGACGTTGGCGGGCTTCGGGTGTCAGTGCCCCGGACCCAGTTCGTCGGTGTGTGTCCACTGTTGGGCTCCGCCCGCCGCCGCGGGCCCCGGCCAATCGCGGCGGCATTGGGTTGGAGAGTGGCTATCGTTTTGGGGTAGATGTGGGTATGAAGCCAGAAGTTGGTGAATTTGGGGGCTTGTCTCATTGACGTTGTGAACAAGAGACCAACTTGTTCTACGAATACAGTATCGTGGAAATTCAATATGCGCAAAACTTACCACGGTTCATCACTCAAGTCATCCGTCTAGGGCAAATCCCCGTCCAGGGTTGTCGCCTTTTTGAAAGCAGATAAACGAAACGGCTGCCCCCCTCGATCAGCCCAACTTCAACTCCGTAATACCGTTCGCTGAGATCATGGGCCCGCACATGTCACTACTAGGGAGGCATGTGATTGTGCTTATTGCTCTCAAGTACCAGCCCCAACTCTTGCTCTTAATCAGTCGCCATCAGGCTGTCTATGCCCCGATCGACGTGTAGCCTCCGCGCGACTTTGTCGTTAACCATTTCGATCGCTCTAGCAAGCATCAAGATCAATCGATCCAAAATAAGCCAACCACTTCTCCAGGTCGTCTCCAAGCTGCTTAATCACCGCGCCGTCAACCACATCCTGCCATGCCAGCTCGACGCTCAGCTCGCCTCCCCGGACCGAGATGGCGCTGATGTGTACCGCCGCGCCCGCCGCCTCGGCGCTCATCGTAAAAGTCGAGGCCTCTATGCTCCATCGCCTGTCGTCGTCGTCCGTGCCCTCGGGTGTCGCGTCCCCGTCGATGACGCCGATGTTGCTCACCGCCCACGATGCGCCTCGGGGCTTAAACTCCTGAGCCCGCATCATCGCGCGCCAGTCGGATGCGTACTTCATCAGCCCGAGCATGTTGTCGCGGTTGCCCAGCGCGAGGGCCGCCTCGATCTCGCGGCGAGTCCGCTGTGCGGCGGACCAGATGAGCGGCGCGAGGGCGTCCATCCGCAAGTTGTTGCCTTCGCGGTCGTCCGTTCCGGGCGCTGCCTCAAGCGAGCGGCGAAAATCGCTCACGAGGCGCTTGTCGAAGTGGTGGTGTATGGTCGAGAGGATGTTGCACACTGTTCGGCTCGGGTCGTACCACGGGTATCCGTCGGGAGCCTTTGGCGTCGCCCTGCGCATGTCAATGGCCGTGCCGGCCGCAAAGCCCGGGGCTGTCGCGGGATCGAGCTGTTTAGCAAACGAAAGCAGCGCTATGCCATGCAGGAGACCCGTGAGAGTCGTCTTGTTGCCCCTGCAGAGAGCCAAGATGTTGGACAGCGGCCCGCCCTCTACAGTAAAGACTCGGAGGTTGGTCTTGTACGGCTGCAGCCGGACAGGCGCCCACGCCGCCGAAAGGCCTTCCCGCACGGCAAAGAAGTTGGGTCTGAAGGCCTTCCACAGAGCACCGGCGAAGAAGCACATGCTGACGGGATATGTGACGATAGTCTCGGGCGCGGGTGGGAACCTGGCTGCCGTATCAACGAGACGGAGGACGCGGTCCTGAAAGCTCTGTAGCTGTTCCGGGGGATCGTGTGAATTGAGATGATTCAGAAGCGATTCGTGAAAGATCTTGCCGCTCATGCCGTCCACCGCGATATGATTGTAGAAGAACACGGCTTCAAGCACGGCTGGACCGCCCCGTCCGCTGGGTCGCAGCACCACCATCCTCCATCCTGGGCGTGTTGCTCCATCAGGATAATTGTGGCCGACTCCCGCTTCTAGAGTCGAGCGCAAAGCGCCGTGCAGGTCGTCTGACGCATTCAGGGTCACCCAATCGACGTGATTTGCAAAGTCGACCGCGTCGAGCTCGATGAATGACGGCTTCGGCGAGTCCTCGTCAATGACGCCGCACTGCAGCAGAGGGTGGTCCAGCACGGTGCGCGCGAGGGCCGTCTCGAACGTCAGGCGCAGCTGGGCGTCTGCATCTTCGCCTTGGAGATGCGACGGGATGGCGTAGCGGCACGAGATGACGGCGCCGACGTACTGGCCCAGGAGATGGACGGCGGCCTGATACAGCTCGCTGGCGTACGTCTGTCAGCTTGATCGATTGCGCGTGTTTCTCATGGCGGCGACAATACCTCCAGGACAGGCTGCGGATGGCTTTTGGGCTGGCCTCGGCCTTGTCCAAGCTCTGATGTGATGATGCCACCATGGCGATGACGACGCGTAACTGGTATGAGGTCAAATGTTGAGACCCGAGGCGCACAACTCGCGACGGAGCCGTGCCATCCGCTGCAACTTCTTAAGAATCTACAGTCGCAGGGCCGCCCTTGTCATATATCGCATCGAAGACGTCTCATCTCTCATCCAGCAGAACAGCACAGTCTCGGTGCGATTGTCTCGCGACGGGCCATTGTGTCGTTGACGTAAATGCGTCGCGGCGCAGCGCCCCGGCTGCCGGCACACATTGTTGTCAGCTCACCGTGTTTGCTAACTTTCAGCCACGCAGCCAACAGTCTGCCCGCACCAGCATGCCCCCTCCACAGACTCTCCAGGCAAGGGTAGCGTGCAGCCACCCGTCGTCAGGGCCGCCACGGATCTCGCCCGCGCTGCCGGGCGGTCGACGACGGCCGCCAACCGGGTTCCTGGGTCCGTCTGCATCGCGGCCACAGAAGGGCGGTGGGCATTGTTTGGGGCATTGTTGTCGCGATCGGCGGGCGTCGCGCGGCGCGTTGGACGCTGGCGCCGCCTGCACGTCGCAAACGGAGAGCGTCCGTTCCCGTTCATACTGTACGTCGGCACGGCGGTGGGGGGATCCAACGGCATGACATTCGGTCAAGGCTTGGTGCAGTGCTGATGCTGAGTGAGGAACCGGGCTGCCGCATGATGATCGGAGGCTCCCGGACCCCCGATACGTTCCGGGCCCGGCCCCGGCTTGGACTTCCGCAAGGCGCCCTTCTCTCGGCATATATCGCATGCCATGTCACGAGCGTCGCGATTCCTGAGAAGAGTGGAGCTTGCATCAAGTGACGCATCTCAGTGCCGGCACACGAAGTAGGGCGGGCTCTAAGCCGAGCGCGTAGGCCAATCTGCAGTCCGGGCGTGCCTCAGATTTCGTGCCAGTCCCGTCGGCAATCTCGTGGCTGTTCAACGCATACCTGGCGCACGATGACAGTCTGCGCGCCGTTGATTGCTTGGCCATGGGGTTTACTGGTACTGGGTACTATACTCTATTTACGTGCGGCCGTGTGTGCATCTCGAAACCATCCCAAGGCTCGATGTTTATGATGTTGGGCGACATCGACTCGGGCGGCCACGGAGTTGCCGCTGGCCCGTGGACCAACGATCTATCTGACCGAGGCTGGCGGGTTGGCAGTACGGTGGATTCGGAGTTTACCGAGCTGTCTGGCGCCTGCTTTGTTTCAACAGACACGAGTCCCTTCGGAGTCTTGACTCGTTTCCATACCAGGCAGGGTCGATATGAACGCTGAGGTTGAACATGAGGCAAAGGGATGACCGTGCGTTCTATTGTGCATTTCCAACGACGCAACACCACGTGCGCCTGCGTGGTTGGCCTGGAGCGACAGCATGGAGACAGTTTGTTGAGCAAAACTGTCTTGTAACGCAAGGCGCGAGGTCCGGTCTCGGGCTACGGCTGTCTCTCACGTATGGTCGAAAAGGGTGTGTTGCAACGGAGGCCGAAGCCTGCCATGTCCTAAAATAGGTCTGGATCAGTCTTTGGGAGCCATACTCTAATTTGCCCTCAGTGAAACCCGTCAAAGCTGCGTCAGCGGGTGACACTTGCATGTCGCGGCCGATGGATATCGAGAGTCAGGCATCGGGCCATTCCGCGGGCTCGCCCGGTTCGAATGATGCGCTCATGGCCACATGAAGTGCCACGGCTGAAAGAGCCATCGCTGGAGCCCTGCCCGGGCAGCGGGGCGGCTGTCCATTTATCTCGAAATCATTTGTAATGTCCCGTGTCGCCCGTATGTGCTTTGCGCCCTTGGATCGCGACGCAGAGGGCGCGCGCCCCAGTATATCGGAGGCGGCAGTCGGATGCCGCGCTGTGGCGCCTCGGCGGGCCCTTCGCATTGGACGTCTGCCAGCCCAAGACCCTGGCCAAGGCGGGCGCCCGGCAGCTGAGATCGCGCCCGTGACGGGAATAAGATCTGGGCGTGCAGGCCACCGCACGACGACATTGGTGTTGCGTGCCTGGCAACGTTGGCGCTGTCTGGGCGAAAGTCGCGATGGTCAATGGGAGGGTTTGTTCGCGTCTTTCCGGCTGAAGTCGCGGCTGATCGTCAATCGGCAGGTCAGAGTTGAAAGTACGTACTCCTTGAGTGGTGCTGCACGTTAGGTACGTACCTCGTAGCTGTGGGCGGCCGCTCCTTCCCCGCCAGGTTGCAGCGGGGGAAAATGGCAGGCGAGCTACCAGCGAGCGTCGCACCGCACCTTGCTCGGCCCAAGCCCAGGCCCAGGCTGGCAAAAGAGGCAGCACCCGCCGCAGTGAGATTGGCGGCGCTAAGAGTTTTCCCAGCGGCGTCCACGCTGCTCCCGCCAACAACCTTGACGTTAAGCTTGACCGGAACCGGCAAACAAAGTGTGGCTGTTCTGAGGCCAGAGGCAGTCGATCCGAGATTTCCCACTCAGGCGGCCTCACCCATCCGTGCTCGACTCGACCACCCGCCGCCGCCGCCGTCACTTGTCTGCTGCGACCTACGCCTGCGGTGACGCGGCAGGACGCCAAGGAGCGTTATCTTCCTGTGTCGGAGGCCCACGAGAAGGCACGGATCACGATAAATGTCGCATTTCCTGGGGAACGCGCCTTGGCAAGCACAAGTTCTCCGCAACGTTGGGGCGGTCCAAACGTGCTGGACAGGCATCGCAGGCCGGGGAAAACACGAAGCCGGTCTTTCCCGTCAGCCAAGCCTGCTGAGGCCAATGATCCCTGGGAACAGTACGTAAAACAGAGTGCCACCGGAGCCTGGCAACCTGGGGAAGCCAGACTGACTGTGGGGAGAAAGGGGACCGGACGGCTTGACCTGGGTCCCCCGGAGCGAAGGCGCGCAGGTGCCATCGCCGTCTTGGAAAACGTCCACAGAGGCGGATTGTGGAAACGCTTGCTAGCAGGGAGGGATCAAAAACAAGACAAATCGAATCCACGGGCGGGAGCCAATCCAGCGCCGGCAGGTGGAAACAAGCTCACGAGGATCACCACGCCTCGTCTCCTCTCATCGCACTCTTCACCCCAAACGCGCAGCATCGCCGGTGTGTGCGGGCTCCACCCGGAGGGCCCTTTCTAGAACCATTCCGCGCCCCATCTGCCCGCGCGCTTGACGAGGGATGGACCAACCCTGGCTTGCCTGGCTGGCTGCAGTTTGCTGCGGCGCCCTGGTCGGTACAGAAATGCGGGCATGCTGCGAGTCGTGTCAGCCATGCACTCCTCGCCGATTGCTGCCTGGCGCGTGTGGAATAAAATTCATGTTGGCTGCGATCACCGTTGCGCCGAGCCACTAGATGGCGTCCCTCCTCTCCCTCCCAGGTCGTGAGGTCAGCACAGAAACTGATGGACTGTTTCCGGCGAGGGCAGATGCGAACTCGCCTGGAACAGAGGGCACGGTGGTCGGGTGAATTCAGCCGCGAAGCGACGAAATCTGACAACTGCTCGCTCCCTGGAGGCGTCTGCTACTGCAAGACATGCAACGCGATGGTGTCGCCTGGAACGGGCCACGCCTCTCAGAGGGCTGGTCCGCGGCAAGGGTACGATGCGCTGGATGCAGCCGAGGGTCAGCCGTGCGTCAAAGAGAGCATGGGAGGGGGGAACCATTGCCAGAGGACTCCTTGCCATGCGCTTCCCGTTCAACCCGTGTCTTTCTCATCCAACAGCGTCCGGGGCATTGACCAGGGCCTGGACCATCCCTGCCTCACCGTGAGCACTGAGCAGCAGCTCAGACCACGTCGCAATCCGCGCCCGAGGCCGGACTCCGTACTCGCTGCAACGCGCCAGCCTTGACACCTCCCTCCTCCGGAACACGAACCGACAGATGCCTCTATCTTTGGACTTGGGGATAAACTCTGCGCGATGAGTCGACTTTCTCCAACGCTGTCTTGGCCAGCCGCAATGGGAACGCGAGACTCCAAGGCCACGTTGGGCCACGCCCAGAGGGGGGACACACCACCTCGGCGAATCCTTCACCGATAAGCCTCCAAGCCACTGACAACCGCCAAGCAGGGCACAATCTGGCGAAGAAGGAACCATATCTCCTTCCCTGCCAGCTTCCCCACACAGATGGCGTCCAATTGCCGCTGGCGTCGTTTTAGGTGATGAGGCCGCGCTCTTCGTTGGACTGGGGCCCAACTCGCTTGTTTTTCTCCCCGCCCCCCTTGTCGGTCACGTTGGGCCTATGAGGGGAGGTCGTGATGCAATCAGCTTCCGAAGTGGTGCTTCTTCGCTCCCTGGGCTGCGGCCTGCAAGAAGCCAGCCACAGAGAATCGCACTGGCTGTTGCGCTGCCCTGGCCCGTGCTGTGCGGCGACCCCGATCCCCGCTCCCTCTATCGCGCCTGTGGTGTGATGGCCAAGAAGGAAACAAGAGGGCAAGGCCCAGGATGGCGGCCCCCACGGGGCGTTCCTCCTAGTGTGCCACACACTGGGTCGCCTTTCGTCCCGAACGAGGCTGGCCGCCCGGTGACCGGGCAAGCACCACGGAGGGTTGCCCCAGCGTGGTGAGCGAGCATAAACGGGGAGGGCCGGCTCCTGCTGGGACGGTACAGGTATATAGCACCGACGATCCGCTCGTGAAACCACCCGGGCGGAAGAGTCTTGCCCATCTCCAGCCTGGCTCCTGCAGATACTCTCAGACGTCGCGCGCGAGTGCCAACGTCACAAGTCTGTGTCAACCATCCGGTGGATGAACAGTCGCTGGTCTGAGAGCTCACAAGCCACGCCAGTCATTACGTCGGCTTGATTTCTGCATCGCTCCCGCCGCCGACTGAAAAGGAACACCGTCTTCGCGACGAGCTGTCTGTCGACCGGGATTCAACACTTCCCTTGACTCGAGGAAGAGAGCTGGGATTCCAGTTGAGATCGCATACGCAAGCCAGGCTCGAGTTCTGTTCAACATGGACTCGGAAGGCATCCACGCCCGCCACGTCCCCAGGGCGTCCGACCCTGAGAAGGGCGGCTCCGTCCACGGCAAGGACCCCTACGAAAATGTCGACATCCGCGGTATCGAGACGTCGCCCGAGACGTCGCTGCACCGCGGCCTAAAGGCGCGCCACATTACTATGATTGCCATTGGCGGCGCTCTCGGCACAGGTCTCATTATCGGTACCGGCAAGGCCCTCGCCCAGGCCGGCCCCGGCTCGCTCTTCATCTCTTATACCTTTGTTGGCATGCTCGTCTTCATGATTATGGCTGGTCTCGGTGAGATGGCCGCCTGGCTGCCCATGTCTTCTGGCTTCACCGGTTACGCCACGCGCTACTGCCACCCATCTCTTGGCTTTGCTCTTGGTTGGACGTAAGTTGTGACCTGTTGGAAGCGACAAGGGAAAAAAGATGAGAATTGGAAACTGACAAATGTTCCCAGATACTGGCTCAAGTACATCATCGTCACGCCCAACCAGCTTACCGCCGCCTCGCTCGTCCTCCAGTTCTGGGTCCCGCGCGAGAAGGTGAACCCCGGCGTATGGGTAGCTATCCTACTCGTCATCATCTTCTGCATCAACTACATCGGCGGCATCAAGTTTTTCGGCGAGTTCGAATTCTGGCTCTCGTCGTTCAAGGTGATTGTCGTCATTGGCATCATCCTCTTCTCCCTCATCATTGCTTGCGGCGGCGGCCCTAGCCACGATGCCCCCGGCTTCCGCTACTGGAGCGACCCCGGCGCTTTTGCGCCGCTCTACGGCACGGGATCGACGGCCAAGTTCGTCGGCTTCTGGTCCGTCATGGTCAACGCCACCTTCGCCTATCTCGGTACCGAACTGGTCGGTGTCACGGCCGCCGAGGCGCAGAACCCGCGCCGCAGCATCCCCAAGGCCATCAAGCTCACCTTCTTCCGTATCCTCTTCTTCTACTGCCTCAGCGTCCTGCTCGTCGGCATGATCGTCCCCTACAACTCCAAGGAACTCGCTTTTGCCAACAAGAAGGACACCTCGGCCAACGCCAGTCCCTTTGTCGTCGCTGCGGTTCTCGCCGGTATCCAGGTGCTGCCACACATCATCAACGCCTGTATCCTCATCTTCGTCTTCTCCGCCGCCAACTCGGATCTCTACATTGCCAGCCGTACGCTCTATGGCCTTGCTAGTGACCGCTCCGCTCCCGCCATCTTCCGCCGCACCGACCGTCGCGGCGTGCCGTACCCTGCGCTCTTCGTGTGCACGGCCTTCGCCTGCCTGGCCTTCATGGTTGTGTCGGACGACTCCAAGAAGATCTTCTCGTACTTTGTCAACCTGACGACCATCTTCGGTATCCTGTCGTGGATCTCCCTGCTCGTCACATACATCCACTTCCTCAAGGCCCGCCGCGCGCAGAACATCCCCAACAGCGCCATGCCGTACGTCGCCCCGCAGGGCCTCATCGGCACCTACATCGCGCTCTTCTTCTGCTGCCTCATCGCCTTGACCAAGAACTTCAATGTCTTCGTGCACCACGACGGCATCACCTTTGACTACAAGGAGTTCATCACGGGCTACCTGGGCATCCCCATCTACCTGATTCTCATCTTCGGCCACATGATTGCGACCAAGAGCCGCGCGGTCAAGCCCGAGGAGGCCGACTTCTACACGGGCAAGGAAATTATCGACAACGAGGAGGCTCTCTTCTTGGAGCACAAGGCGGAGAAGGACGCGAACGCGACGGGCTGGGCCAAGTTCTACAACCGGTTCATTTCCTGGCTGTTTTAGAGAGAGGGGTGGATATAGTCGCGGGGTGCATTTTTCGCGCCGTCCGATGCGGCGGCGTTACATATGTCAAACAATGAGACATGACTTCAAATTACTCGCGCATCCCCCGCGAATTACTCGTGCGCCGTGGAAGACCTTTCGCCTGAAGAACTCTAGATACTGCCTGTCGCATGACTGCGAGAGCCTGCTGCCAAGCGCAAAGTCCCCGGCTCGTTCAGCGATACTGTCACATGATTCGTGCTGCGTGGCATTACGACATTGTATCGCATTCCTCCCCGGTATCAAACTTTGCGTGGGTAAATCTACGCGCGTTCTGGGCATACCAGCGTACGATATCGGCCATGGCGCGGCACCCTACCTTTTCATGCTTGACGACGAATATGCTTCATGCGGTGTCGCGGACATCCGAGCGCGGCTGCCCGCGGCCCAAGTGCCTGGTGAAGCGCCGCGCCTGCCCCTCTCCCTCTCCCCCTCTCAGCCGAGGGACCAGGGCGAATTGCCGCCCGGGAACCCGTCGCGGGCCCTTCCTTATCTTTGACATGGACGGACACTAATACCTTCGCGGCCGGCCAGCCGCGAGAAGGCCGAAAAATACAATGGCGCCGCCCCGCTTATACACTCGACGACTCCGCAAATAGTGGACCGTGACGGGCGGGAGCAGAGTCACAAGAGGGGAAAGAAGAGAGAGAGAGAGGGGGAAAAAAAAGGCCGGCGGAGTAGGCAGTACCAAAGAGGCGATAAGGCACGAGACGTGGATATTCGCTCAGTAGGGAGATAACAGATCAAGCAGCTATACCACGAAGCAATAGAGGAGTTTGCGAGAAAATATTTTGCTTTCGTCAATTAGTCTAGGTTGTCTAATCGTCTATGCGTGAACCCCGCTCTTTGCAGCGTCTCGGAGCAAGACAAAGTCTGCTCTGGCTGGCCGTCCGGGTATCTAATGCGTCTCCCCGTGATCCCGCTGCCGAAAAATCACTGCCCATGTTTTTGTGTCCCCCAAAACGCCTCGCCTATGCAAATGCTCAAAAATGGAAAGGAAAAAAAAATCCAGCGCTTCTTTCAACGCCAACAAAGAAGATGGAGAAGGAAATCCCCGCCTGTTGTACACGGTGTGGAGATGAATGTGCTGCGCGTGGTGGTGCTGGTCGTGTCCTTGTGCAGGACTGACGAGCGAGCCTGCGCGGATCGTGGTGGGTGGAGTCGGGTAGATGCGCGATTACAGCGCAGCGGCCATGCGCTGCCTCTCCTTCTCCTCGGCAAAGACCTGGCGGCTCATCTCGAGGACACGCTCGAAGCCCTCGCGACCCTTGATGGCGTTCTCGCGGAAGCGGTTGACGAGGGTATCCTCGATGCTGTTCTTGATGCGCTGCCAGCCGCCGCAGAGGGCGGTGATGCGCGCGCTCTGGGCGAACTGGGTCTGGTGCTCGCCCAGCGGCCGGTAGACGACCTCCTCCTGGACGTTGACGAGGTTGCTCCACGTCAGGTTCTGGCTAACCATGGTGACGGTGCGCGCGGCCGGGTCGACGTACGACGCCTCGTAGACGTGGCTAACCTCCATGGTTGTGCCCATGATGGTCTTGAGCCACTCGGGCGCCGACTGCTTGCATGTGATGAGGCGCTCCGTCCGCAGGATGCCGGTCGAGGGGTCGACGCTGCGGGAGAGGGTGTCGACGGCGATGACGTGCTCCGACTTGTTGTTCCAGGGGCCGTACTTGCGCCAGTTGGCCGTCGAGACCTCTTCCCACGAGTAGTTGTAGGTGACGCTGTTGGAGAAGACCTTCATCTTGGATGATGTGGTCTGGGTGGGTGTTGTGGTGGGTGTTTGGTTTGTGGATTGTTTGCTCGTTCGAAACCTCGGGCCGAGCTGAGGTATGACTGTCGGGGGCAAACGCGTTTCGAGATTGGGCCTGCTCAGAGAGCGGCGTGTTCAATCCGCTGCGGTGTCGACGTGACGATGAGGGTCGTGAATCTTTGAAAAACACACAGCTCGCTGAGGAAAGAACAAAAAAGGTCGCTGAGTGTAGCAGGTCGATGGTCGACGACGGGGTTGAAGGGATGTGGAACCAAGCCTCAGCTCCGCGCGGCGATTGTGGACGTGAGGTTTTTTAAAGGAGGGCACAAGGGCGCTGCATGTGAGAGGCTCGGGGTGCCTTCGGAGCGCGTGTGGTTTTTTTTCGGAGTGGCGAGGCCTGACGCCATGCCGCATCGGGTCAAGCGGTTACCCGATGCGGTTACCCCCGTGCCTGCTGGCGAGAAAGCACCGGGAGCGGGATGAAATTTTTGACAGCCCTGATTCGCCCGCGCGGGCGTGACCAATAGGCGTCGCCGTGACCGGCCCCGGAGCCGCTCGGGGTCGGGGGAGGAGAAGGGGGGGTCGGGGTTCGCGGGTGGTGGCGACAAGCTTCCTGGGCCTGTAACGTGCCTGTATTCTGTCCCCGTAGATCTAGTTGCTTCTCTGCCAGAGATCGAGGCACGGCTGTTGGCTATATTGCCGCTCGATCGATCCATATCGCCTCGTGCGTGGAGCTCAGGCTCCAGTATTGGTCTGAGGCTCAGGCATGGAGGCAAGCAAGGCAAGTAAAGCAAGTAAGGCTTCGGGCGATGAGGTAGAGCCCATATCGCTTCACAGGGATGCTCAGACGCTGAGCAGTGAACAGGTGGTTGATTCAACAGAGTGAGTTGTGATTCGCGGCGTTCCGCTTTGGCCGCCAAGTAAGACTACGTCAGACCAGGTTGCTTAAACACAGGGCTCCCTGCCTGGATGCATCGACACATATTTACCCTCGAATGTTGGTAAACATCAAGCGAGCGCAGGTAGCCACCACTGAAACACTTTAATCGATACCGTCATGGCTCGGCCGTATATTCACGTCTCCTCGACGCAGCGACTACCCTATAGAAACAGATTGTCGTTTTCAGAGTCTTGTCTAGTAGTCGTCGCCACGGCTGATGACCTCCTTCACGGTCGGTCGGATCAGGATCGTCTACAAGTTGTTAGCTGTGCTGCGTAGACCACACGCGTTCCGGGGAGGTACACTTACGTGCTCAAACTGGGCCGTGTACGAGCCCTTCTTGTCGCACAACGGCGGGTACGCCTCGACGATGCCGCTGTTCACCAGGCTGTTCAACTGCTCCGGGTTAGCGGCGGTGAACCAGACGTTGTTTGCGAAGGTCAAGAGATGCTCACCCCCAGCAGGTACTTCTCCTGGCCCAAGCGGTCCAGGTAGCGGCGGCAGAACGGCAGGGTGCCAAAGTTCTTGTTGATGACACTGAGCAGCGACTTGGCCGAGCTGAGGCGCAGGTCGACGTGCTGCACATCGGTGTTCTTGGCGTAATGCGACACCTCCATGTCGTCACGGACGTAGCCGTTGCCCGTGCTGCCAAACGTCTCAATGGCAAATACATCGCCCTCCTCCATCTTGGTTTGGTCGTTGCTCTTGACAATCGGCACCGCCTTGGTGCCGTGGATGCTGTAGGGCAGAATCGTGTGGCCCGTCAGGTTGCGGATGCTCTTGACGGGGTACGTGGTGCCGTCAATCTCGACCTCGAAGCTCTCCATCGTCTCCTGGATGACGCCGCCAATCTCGCCGACGCGGGCGTCGATGCCCGCCTCGCGGATGCCCGCATTGGTGGCCTCCTTGACTGCCTGCAGCAGGTTGTCGTACTTGGACTCAAAAGCCATGGTGAAGGCAGAGTCGACGATACGACCGTTGACGTGGACGCCGAAATCGACCTTCATGACGTCCTCCTGCTGCAGTACCATCTTGTTGCCCGCGTTGGGCGTGTAGTGAGCCGCGCAGTGGTTCAGACTCAGACCGCAGGGGAAGCCCATGCCGGCCTTCATGGCGTCTCCCTCGGAAAGGCCATCGTGGCCCGTCAGGGCACGCACGCCGTCCTCGATGGTCTCGGCGATCTCGGTGAGCGTCTGGCCCGGTCGCACCACCTTTTGTGCATACTGGCGCACCTGACGATGGATCTCGGCGGCCTCGCGGTAGTCGGTCAGGAAATCGGTGTTCATGTTATCGAGGTGTCGCTTCTCCTCGCTCGTCGTGCGGTAGCGATTCTCGTCCTTGTACTCGACCTCCTCGCCCTTGGGGTAGTTGCCGTTGGGGAACAGCTGGCTGACCTTTACGCGGGGCGGCTCGGACTGGGCCGTGGGGTTCTTCTTCTTCTTCTTGGGCTTTCTCTTCTTCTTCTTCTTGGGCGCGCCGGTCGCGGCGCCGTCGGCGGCCGCATTGTCTTCGGCATCGTCGTCAGAATCGTCGCCGTGGTCCTCGTCGGCGGCGGGCTCAGGCTTCGCGCCCTTGCCATTGGCCTCGGCCACTGCGACAGTCAGTATCGCACCCGTGCAATCACCAATTTCGGAGCAACCAGAAGCGCACCTTTGAGCTCCTTGAGAGCCTCCGTGGGAACTTGAGCTGCCATCGTGGCACAGTTGTCGTGTACTGTGTCCAGTGTCTGGAGGAGATCGCCAGGACAAAAATCGCCCGTCGCTGGTGGACACAAAATGCGAGTTACCCCGCCATACCCGGCCGGCAGCACGGGCAACCCACTCTCGCCACTCCTGGCATTTGTTGCGCCTCGCCCTTTCGGTGGGCCTCGCTGACCGCAAATCGTCAAGCACAATTTACGAATGTCCATCTACCATGTCGAGCTGTCGCTTCATACGCTGCGCCTGGCATGGCCACTTATGAAGTGCACTGGATCAAAACAAGCCTCAGGGTTCTGAAGTAAGCCGCGACGGGACTCTGTGGCAGATGCGCCAGTAGCTCCGGCGCTCCGGCCAATCGCGCGACTTTGGGTGAGCCGGGTGAGCTATGCGGGTGTGGTCGCGCGACCTGGGTGAGCCAGGCATCTCTGTAGCGCAATAGGAGGGGCGGCTGGCAGTCCACCCTGCATGGCTGCACGCCATTAGTCCTCGCGTCGCAAACTATGCCGCGACTCCCTCGACCATCCGCGTCAAGATACGCTCACGATCCTGCCGTCGCTAACGACATCTAGCGCGCGTCAAGCTTCCCGTTAAACGAAGCATGCCTACTCATTTTAACCGAGTGTCGCCGTATAGAGATATCTAGACGCCGCTTATATAAGCCGCTCGATAGCCCCGCTACTTACCCGACTCTCTTAAGATCGATTCCGTCGAACTTTATCCCCTTTCTCGATATCGATAGATACTTTTAGGGCGAATATACTATATAATAAAGGGTAACCGACTAACTAACGCCTATTTTAGTAGATAAAGGAAATGTTATACGTTATAGATAGATATAATATACCGATTAGACGATTCTCCCTATAATACTATAGCGGATAACGGTTATATATTAATATAATATACATTATAAGCTTATTATTAAATAGTATTAATTAGCTTAGACTAAAAGATAGTTACTATAATTAAGGTTTAATTAGCGCTTAATTAATAATATAAGGCATTATATATAGTAACCTTATATTTAATATACCTTTACTTAATATCTATATATTATAGTAGAGATAGCTTTTAATATAGCTTAATATAAGTTTAATAGAGGAGAAATTGCCTCTACTTATAGGATAAAGCGTTAGATAAAGCGAATTATATTTATTAACTTTACTTAGCTTCTTTATTAACTATAAATCGAGGTATATACTAAGAAGTAATATAATAGCCCTTAAACTCTATAAGAGCCTTAAATACTTATGCGATACCTTCGATACTTAAATCGCCTTAGGGCAAGTATGCTCTTACTGCTAGGCTCGACGACTTCTAGATCCCGCATTATCTACACCATAAGAGCTATTTGTCGCTTATCTGCCTGTCTAGACGCCGCAGGCTCTTCTATATCATTAAGACCTCGGCAACGAGCAGTCTATAATCGCTATGAACACCTCAGCTGGAATTTCGCGGGGTTAAGAACTCTTGATGCCTCGCAATTCTAATTCTCTAATGTCTAAGTCACGCTAATGACGGGACGTATATATATGGCGGCAGTGAATAGCGAATGGTGGGGGGAGATTCATGGGATATGAGGCATATATGAGCAGGGCGGCGGCTGTGGAGTGTACTGACATCGTTGAATATATGAGCGTCACTATTGCTATTGAACTCGCGACCCTCGTGATGTCTGTATTGGGTGCCTGTGGTGAGGTAGTTGTGCAAGTGGAAACGGCACCATGAGATTGCTAATCGATTTTCACGATGTATAAGCTAACTGGTATTAATAGCTGTTCATATATTCGTATCCTGCTTCTTTCAGCACTATCGCTGCGTTCCAAACATAGTAAACTTAACTGGTTCTTGCTGCAACAATCAAAAACCATGTGTCTTAAGTCCAGCTAACACCTGATTGCTTACTGCCAAGCGGATATGTAAGGCAAGTCCTTGCTCGGTGGCAGCACGTGTCCTTGGCCGTCATCACTGTCGCTCCGGGAGCCATCGCTGTCCCTCCGGGGGCCATTACCATCCCTCCGAGAGATATTGCTGTTCATGCGGGAGACGTTGCTCTTCCTATCGGAGACATTGCTGTTGCTCTTCCCATCGGAGACATTGCTGTTCCTTCGGGAGACATCGGCATCCCCCCAGGAGACACACACAACCAGACTTGCCCAAGCCATAATTATACACCGTGCCACCTTTCCACAGTCCTTTTCAGTGATATTCTGGCCGCATTGCAGCTTCGATGCGATACTGGCTAGCTGTTTCTCAATCTCTGTCTCGTTGACCTCCTTTACTGGGCTGCAAAGGTGGTCTGTCTCACGTTCCGTCGCGGTGCCATTCGCACCAGGGTTGTAGTTGCTCAG